AGCAAATCACAGGGTTTGATATTGCACTTGGTTAGAAGAGCTAATAAAATACGAAATAGGTAAAACATAGCAGTTCTTCAATTATAAATAATTTTTATGCAAAAACAAGAAGGCTTGTGGGATGTCAGTGTTGAACTATCAATTTTTATAAGTAATAGCATGGCTTGAGGGAGATTAGTGATTAAATGGCCCCGTAACCCGAGGCAGGTTTGCGGAATTCCCGAGGGCGAAGCCCGAGGGAATTCCGCAAACCTGCCGAGGGTAAGGGGTCATTTAATCACTAATCTCCCGAAAAGCCATGCTATTAGTTTGTAATAGCATGGTTTCGCTCCCATTTAAAAATGGACAAACATGCCCTACTTGGAATCAGCGTATTTAAGCTAAAACATTTGCTTCATTGCTTGTGGGATGTAAAAGCTTGTTGCACATGCGCACTTTTACGCTTTAATCGGTTACGCATGCGCAATCTATCATTTAACGTACCACAACAAACACGCTAAATATATTAGTATAAATTTGGAGACTGCACGTGCGTAATTTAAATGATGCGGCAACTCAGGGATTGGATGATAGACTATTGACGGCTCTGAGCTAACTGTTGCTGTTCCTTGCACGATTATGTGCGTGAGGCACTTGCCTAATGCGTAGTCGTCAGGGAGACAAAGGTGTGACCCTTGGTAACGGGCGATTAGTTCTAATTGCCCGCTCTAGCGGGCGATTAGAACTAATCGCCCGCTACAGCGGGCGATACGTGATTAAACGTCCCTGTTGAAACAAAAGAAACCCGGGCAACTATGCTATTAACAGGGTAATACATGTGTATTAACGGCTTATTGACCGAGTGTGAGGTCTGTACTGTGAAATATCAGACTGAGGTTTTTTAGTATGGACCGAGCGACGAAGGAGCGAGGTCCATACAAAAAACAGAGGTCTGATATTTCACAGTACAGACCGAACAAGCGAGGTCAATAATCGGTTTATTATATGGCTGAACTGAGTCTGTGAGCATAATTATGCTTTTCGCGCGAATTAAATCGACTATCGTCAATTTCACTGGGTAGCAATATACGGTAGGCATGCATGCTCAATCAAAAACAATTTGGTTGGTTGAAATTTTTATCTGTAAATTTTAATGACACACAATTGGAAAATTAAAAAGCAAAAATTTTTTCTGTTTGCAAAGCAAAAATTTCCCGCCAGATAAACGACATCCGGGACACCGGTCCAGATACGGAAAATACGGACCACGGTCCGGATGTGGGTTTTTACGGACCGCTTGTCAACCAATCAGAATAGAGAATTTTGAAAAGCCATATAATAAATTAGTTTATACTTACATTGACTGAATGCTCTCAGTTAGGTTTGTATCAAACCCCAGAAATTGCTTTCCTTTTTTATTATATCCTCTGATCTCAGCACCAGAGGCAACAAATATTTTCTCTCTTGAAGGACCGTCAATACCACCCAACTCAAGACGTGATATACTGCTAGTTGGCAACGTCTTAAACACCATCTATGTATAGAAAACATATACTGTGGGCATACTGTACTTAGCATACTTGAAACGTACGAATTGTTAAAACCTTGACAGTAGCACACTTGTTAATGACAGGGTGTGGTCCACCCTTTAGTGACCATGAAATTCCAGAACCTTTCCAGGACTTTCAAGTTAAACGTTTTTCAAATTAAATTCGACTAAGACTGAAAAATCTTCGAAAATGGCGAGGATTTTGCTATTTGTATTACTATTTTAAAATATTATTCCAATCTCCACTGACAATATATTATGCCCGTTTTATCAACTATATGACGACAAATTTTATCCGTAAATGGCTACTGAATTGATGACCTTTCTATTAGATATAAGTTGTTCCTTATGACGTTGTTTTCATGAATGAAATCGAAGCAAATTTTCAGTCTATAAATGAGGTCACAATAGCCAATTTATGTGCATTGAAGAGCATATACTTTGCTCTTTAGAGGGGGCAGTTTGTTTCGATCATTGCACAGTCTCCCGTCGCTGAGAGGTCGCTGTTTTGATGTGGCCAGCTATACAAATTGTATAGAATTTGTAGTTGTATCACAGAAAATCCATGATATGACTCATTACAGTACAAAAATCCATATCAAATATCCATATTGTTTTATATCCATATCTTCATACATTTATAACAAAGCAGTCAGTGGGAAAGAAAGTTTTCTTTTATCGCGTGTTTTTTCGCGCTGTCGGCTTTGATATACAGTAGTCTTATAGATGAATGGACAATATGTGTTGATATTTGTATTGATATAATAGGCCATGGTCGGACTCCTGTGGTCATGTCATGCAATGTTAAAACAAAGAGCCTCGGAACGAGGTTGGCCCCTGGAGTCCCTGTCCACTGTAGAAATTCCAGGCCTTTGACCTCAATCAGATTTTTCACACCAATATTAGTATTAGGGAGGTTCAGATTTTACTTCCACTACCACTACCTCTCACTGGTTAATAATATCAAACACATCTGCTTGGTTAATGGTAACGGCAGCGTTAGTTAAATCTGACCTCAATATTGCTACAGCACTGGAGTGCATTGGTAAGAATATTTTCATGAGGTCAAAGATGAAATTTTCAATGCAGCAAAGATCAGCCTTGTTGAAAGGAACATTCCATCTTTCACCCCATGAAAATAATATTACCATGATTACAAGACTGAGAAGTTTGTTATACGGTTTATAGTATAAGACACCCAAATTGTCAGTATTATTTCATGATTTATGATTAATCATAAAACAAATACACAGTTTCTATAAAACATTCAAAATTATATCCAAAAATAAATATCCCAAATCCTGGTTTTTAAAAAAGGCAATAGTCTACAGTATCTGAATAAGAACTGCAGTTCAGTACAGACGAAGAATGATTCTTTTTATTTATTACATGCAAAGGTTACATATTTTCGCCAAATATTTTTTGGCATTTTTTCTGTCTGCCACCAGCATATATTTACTAAATATTGCTACCATACTATAATCTAATTTCTAAACGTCTCGATTTACAACATTCAGTTCTCTCTACATCACGAAGCAAACTCTTGCCTTCTTCAGTAAAGTTATTTCCACCTAGAGAGAGATTAATAAGCTTACAATGTCCATCTTGCAGGGTCTCGCACAGAAGAGGTAGACATTTATCTGTCAAACTGCAATTATCAAGGTCTAATTCAGTAAGCTTACATCGTTCTTTTCTCAATGCATTTGTGCACATCATGCGTACACCTTCATCACCGATGGCATTATATGTCAATAACAAACTAGTCAGTTTACAGTGTTCGTCTTGCAAAGCCTTGCATAATACAAGTACGCAATTCGCTGTCAATGAACAACGACGAAGATCCAAATCAGTAAGTTCACATTGACCTCTTCTGACAGCGTCATTAAACAATCTATTTACACCTTCATCACCTATTGCATTATTTTGCAAATTCATTTGACCCAGTTTACAATGTTCATGATAAAGAGCTTTGCACAAGGAATGCATGGATTTTTCTGTCAACGAACAGGAATTCAAAAACAACGTATTTAGCAACCTCGTTCCCAGGCTCTTTGCTCTTGGGAAGCAAAGACCCTGGTCGGAGCTGGTCACGTGAACCCCCAGATTTTGGGGGTAAATTGAATTTGATCTCAGGGAGGGGTAGGAGAGTAGTCTGTTTGTTGCGTTTAGAAAATTGCAACTTTATGTGTTATAATTTTGGGTGATAAAAATGTAATTTGCAGCAAGAGATTGTGAAAGGAACTGTTCTAAATTCGTACCGATCATGACAAGACTTCCTGCTGACTTCCTGCGTTACATTTCAAGCGAGAAGCTGGATCATATTTCACTTGCAAGGAAAACACTCCACACGCGCCTGGCTTGCGAAGTTGAGCACGTATCGCCGTAGAAACATACATCAGTATCTTCTACACAGACTGATCGATCAAACGGTATTAAACGAACGATATGGTTCTTTATAGTTGAAGTGTATCCTGTCCGATATTCAAAACAAAAGATTTATTTTATAACGGGATCCTTTGATTTCCCAAACATCGCCAACATGTGTAAACAATAGTGCTATTTTGACTGTAAAAGCACAGGATTAAAAACCGTTATGGACTGGCTATAAAATTCATTTCATTTACATTGCTGAAACTCAACGATCAAGAAAGATAATGTCGAAGTGTAGCTAGCTATCTGTTATCACATAAACGCCAAGACTCCTCCGTGCGTTTCCGTGCGTGCGGTACAACTTGAATATCTAGGACGATAATAAATATGCACCAGACACTGGTATTGTACTTTATATAAATTATTTCATATTTTGTATATACAGTAATTTGCAACATGTATAATATTAGACCTTTCATTGACATTGGCATTGTCCATTGAAGGCTGTATTGAAGAATAATCCAGCTTCTTTAGTCTTGTATAATGGATTAATGCCGCTGTGAGTTATCAATATTTAAATCAACTTTAATCTTTATCGTATACTGTAATCGACATTCTAGAAGTTTAGTCTATTTTACCAAACAATACTGGAGGCAAACAACCTATCTATCAATGGAAACTTTAAAGGTTTGTTACAGTAAAACTCAGTAATATAAGCGAGACTTCGTGTGCATATACAGTTTATGAATTATGTATATCCCTGATAAAACGTAGGAGACTTTATACCAGATATAATAAAAAAATACTTTGCTAAACCTTTTCGGCTGGCATTCCTTTGCATTTAAGGGGAGAGGGTAAATGGCGATAGAATTTATAGGAGATGCTGTGCAATATTTCAGGCTTCAACAGACAGGTACTCGTGCAGACAAAAAAGGAAATTCATGCAGTTTTGAATTGTCGTATGTCAGCTGTGCACTGTCGATTTCAAACAATTTTGTACGTTATATTTTGTCTTCCTGGTGTTTAATATAAACGATGATAACCTTTAAAAAAAAAATCTAGAGCAATATGTCTGTAAACAGTCTTAGAATCAATAGCGGAATGGACATTCAATGTGTATTTGGCTTGTGTCCAAATGTGTCACGTTTGAGACCGGCAAGGCGCTAATTCTACGACCTATAAACAGTCGCTTTTGAGACATCTGTTTAACAAAATTTATACCATGTCCATATCAGAACAATTCATTGGCATATTATAAGCATATTATAAATATCAGAGCCAGAACAGAAACGTATGCGTGAAATAAAACTACGGCCGAACCGGCGAACCCCGCGAGAAAATAAAAATATTTCAAAGCGTACAGTCATACGTTCTCGTTGCTTGATTTCCTGAATTTTCTGTTGCTATAAGAATCTGCATTTTATCATGTTTGTATAATTTAAAAGCAAACAGAAACCAATTTAGCAAGTAGTTTGAGGTATATATGATTCTTGAAGATGAATTAATGATTGTACAGAACGGCCACTCCTTGCAATCGAAGTGCGGAAGTGGAAACATGTAATATGAGACTTTTCCATCCCCCTCTTGGGCTATCAATTTTCAATGGGTCACGTGACCAGCTCCGACCAGGGTCTTTGCTTCCCAAGAGCAAAGAGCCTGGGAACGAGGTTGCGTATTTAGCTTACAGTGTCCTTTTATTAGGGCATTGCACAACATACGAGCACCTTCATCACCTATATCGCTGAAGCTTAAATTCAGCAATGTGAGTTTAGGGCAAAGTGCATCATTAAGAACCTTACCGAGTTGGGATACTGTTTCAGAAGAGCTTGCGAAGAGTTCGAGTTTCTCAAGATGACTTGCATATCCCTTTTTTATAAATGCACATATGTTTGATGCACATTCTTCAGTCATGCCAATATTAAGATGAAGGCGATTAAGCTTAACATGTTCGTGGTTCAATGTACATTTTTGTCTCATCAATGCGCTGGTTAGTTGTTTCTTTGCCAAATCACTACCAGTTTTGTTAGAGAAGAACAGCGTTTTTAAGCATCTTTGTTGTAGTAGTTTGCTAACTTCCAGAAAACAATCATCTTCAATAAATGAATCAGTTAAATATAAATCTTTTAAATTGTTCAAATGTTTGCAAACAAACATGATTGCTACCCAGTCGCTTGTTGAAAGTGACTCCCAAACCGAAAAACCACTAATTCCCGTAACAAGATTTAAATCAGTTTCTTGGCAAACAGTCTTGACAATGTCTTCATCATCCAGTTCCCTTAAACATTTCATTACAAACATGTTATGATGAACGCCGACGTCCATTTCACACGCCTCAACAAGAGGTAAATCTAAGCATTTTGTAAAAGCTAAAACACACTCACAGTAGTCACTGCTAGACATCATCATTTTTTCGCCTAAAATTCCAGCAATAAACTGAAGCACTAAATGCCACTGACCACTTTTCCCATGAGTGGAAATGAACTTCTTTATCTCGTCCGGTGGTAGAGTATCGGCCACGTGCTTTGCTGCAAGAAATTCTTGTACAGTTAAGTGTATGAAACAAAACTGTGTTTGAACTGGGAAGATAGGATTAGATAAACTGTTCACTAAACCAGACATTTTCATTTGTTCATCAAAACGTTGTTTGTTGAAAACCAATTGCCTGTGTTCGATACCATGGAATGCTAATTCCTGAAGTTTTCTGAGCGTTTGTTCAGAAAAGGTTTCGCCCACGTTTTTGTTGTGGTGCTCTGCAAAGTAATCTATGGCTGTCTGGTAAAGTTCAGTCAGTGTTGTTGGAAGAGCACCGGTGGCATTTCTAGGATAAATGAGACATTCAGAAATGGTAACACAAATAATAAAACAATTTACAGGAATGTAGCATAAATTCAAAAGGTCTGACGAAGATGATACGTGACTCCATATCCATGGTTTCAGATCATGTCTGTCAATGTTTTCACAAAATTTGCTGACATATTCTTCAATTTTATCTGAAGTGAAGCCAATGATCTCAACGCTTCGACCAAAATTGAGCCTTGTGTAAAAATTATCTGCAATCGGTCTGCTCGTTACCAGAACAGTTGCTCCTTGTAGAAGGTTGCCGTAAGTCAGTTTGGTGAATAACGTCATCGCGGACATGCAACTATTAGGATCATTTGGAAGTCCTTGTGACTGGTCCAAGTGGTTGATCAGATCGCCATCAAACTCATCCAAACCATCAAATATAAAAATTGCTTTCTGAGGTTCCTTTAAAATTTCTTCAAAAATGCTTTCAAATTTTTCTTCATTCAGTCCTGTTCCATAACGAAGAAACATCTTAAGAGATAAATTTTGTAATTCATCAATTATATTGAACCATCTAAATTTATATGAGAAAACAATCTTATCACAATAAAATTTATCAATTCCATTTGCCCAATCACGGATAATTTTTTCGGTCAAGACAGTTTTTCCTATGCCCGGTCGTCCAACTGCCAGAATGGTGCGGGGAGAATTGCCTTTCGTGTCTTTATTGGGATAAAATAAATCTTTAATCTCTTCCAGACGTATGGAGGATTCAGGAACTTTCATGTAGACGTCAAATATCTCATGCCTTTCCATTTTCTTGGAAAATTTGTGTGGTGCTCGTCCAGTGTGTATAATAACGTCAATATATAAATCATCTAAACTTGTTTTTTGTGCATAACATATCTCAGGTGCACGAGAAGTGTTCAAAATTTGTTGTTTGTAATAGTGTGTACAAACCTGAAAGTTGATCTTATCCGGAGCGATACTGTCCACAGTGTTATTATCTGGAGCGCTACTGTCCACAATGTTATTATCTGGAGTGCTACTGGCCGCAATGTTATTATCTGGAGCGCTACTGTCCGCAATGTTATTATCTGGAGCGCTACTATCTGCAATGTTATTTTCTGGAGCGCTACTGTCCGCAATGTTATTATCTGGAGTGCTACTGTCCACAATGCTAATATCTGTAATTCTACCCATGGTTGTAAGTTGAAGTCGCACATATCGCTTTCGAAGAAAATGAACAGTTATAAACTCAGTGTCAATGCTCCAGCCAACGTCAGAACGACAGTTGAGGGTTGGAAACCGTCGCCACAGATAAATCACTTCCCCAAGTATTATCAAGGCAAAAGCAGTGTTTAATACAGAGACAATCGCGCTCCAAAACTGCCTTTCTGAGGCAGTTGAATTCTCGCATACAATTAAGGTATTATTTGTACCAATAAACGTATTGTTTCCTCTCCGTAATGTTACATCTGGTGTTGGGAGACTGCAACTGAATTCGAAGTCAAATCCACGGGGATAAAATACTGTATGTTGCAGAACAGTGGACAGAATTCCAAACAGGGAACGGACAACAAGGTGGAAGAGATAGAAGTAGAAAACATAAAATCCTTGACTCGTTTCTTCGTTATCGGCGGTTGGCTCACCACTTTCGTTCGAGGTTCTGTCGACTTCCTCGACACGATCCCTTACTCTCCATGCATAAAAAACACTGACAAGAACTGTGAAGGCAACACTTAATAAAACAAAGCCGTACAATGGTAGAAGAGTGTTATAAGTCTGTTCGTATCTTGAATAACATCTTTTCTCAACAGACGACTTATAAGCTGCGGTACTTTGTTTGTCGACAGCGCAACCAAATTTGGCAAACTCACCGTTTCTTAATTCAAGAACAACACCAAATAGTGCGAGTCCAAAAAGGAAATGGAATATCACACATACGTAGGCTACCCAACCAAAGCTCTTGGGAGTTAAATAATCCTTTACCGCGTCTATCATGTTGGTGAAACTTGAAATTCATATCGGAAATGTTGCGAGCAAATCTACTTTGCTCATGATTTCACAAGGGAATATTTGTAAACAATAGCAGAATCAAGTTACTAAATATGCTAGGAATGTATTGATTAGACGGACGTCAAAATTTTAGAATTCGCATTTCGAGGAAGTACGCCGTTTTTCTAATATTCTCTCGGAATCGCAACGTCATTTCTCACATAGAGCCATGTTATTTAAAACTATATATTAATCGCAGGAAAAATTCTGAGCATGGCCCATGGTTTATTCTCCTGACATTTTTCATCATACAGTATTTCTTTTATTTTTCATCCCTTGGGATTATGTTAATATGTAAAGAAAGTATTGGCTGAGTTAAATGCGAGCCACGCTCACATTTCCCTGCGACTATTTTTTTCGATAACATGGGTCTATGTAAGAAATTGAGTTGCACCAAAAATCGCCTTAAGTTTGCCAGTCGGCATTTCAGTCCCTGTGAAACTGCAGAAATTTCCAGAAACGAGATTAGAAACGTAAAACAACTACAATCTGCCACGCTAGTAGCGCTACTCCTTTCAAATTGGGTGAAATTATGTCCCATAGTTTTTTCCAAGGATTGTAGTTTCTTAACCATCCAAGTAGCCTGCTCGCAGCCTGAAATTTAGAAGGGGAAAATTTCAGCCAATTCTAAATTTCAGGCTGCGAGTAGGCTACCATCCAAGGCACTTTTCTATTTACTATATAATTACTTATTCAAAGAGACAAAAATATAATTAAATATTAAAACTATATATATATATATGTCACCTGTACAGCTCCTTTCTTCATACCAAAACATGTTATTACCCCACTATGATCTGCTACAGCAACCTAAACACATATACTTTGATTGATTATAATACATTATAGGGGAAACAATAGAGCTGTGCGGCTCCAGAAATTTCATCTTGGTTCAAGTCCTTTTGGGGTGGAAGAACCTCGGTTCGGCGTGTCAGTACTTTTTAAATAAGAACAGTTCAAAGCATTTGCTCAATAAATTGAATGAAAACATAAATTTAAATGAAACAAAAACATTTCATGGCTTAGTAAAATCCTTAAAGATGCCCAAATGTCCTCAGTTTTATAAAGACATTTTCAAGTGACCAAGTAAGAAAGCTGGGAAGCAGGAACACGTGGGACACCGAAAATACCGTTTCTTTTTTCCACACTTGATGCCAACAATACGTTGCTCAAAAAGTACCGAACCAACCGAATATTTCGGTTAACTACACAGCTCTGGTAAACAACAATATGTGACCACATACAGTATGCACTAACTATCATACATGAAATACATTGAAATAAATGCACAACCTAACATATTAAATATCCGGTTGTAGATGTTAAATATTAATTTGCGTCACAAAATTATTGGAGTACATCGTCACGTTGATTATATACAGTACTTTGTTGTTTTAGGAAGATCCACATGCACATATCCCAGGAATTACGTAACAATTGAATTAATTGATCAACATGAACTTAACGAATATTTTGTTCTGAAAATTAGTACTAGTCTATTTTATGCCTTACATTGTACTTCCTAGGCAAAGGGAAGTAATTACATTGTATTATTGGACTTCCTTGAGCATGACTATAGCAGTGCCTACTTTATAGAGTAGGTTAATTAAACCTACAGTAAGTTTTCAATTCATTTGGTAAATTCTGGTGCTCATGCACATGGAGTTCAATCACTTGCTCGAAACAAGTCAATAAATTTATTTCTATATCACATCCAGTTAGTCAAGTTAAATTTTTGGAACACACACTACAATTAGTCTGCATTATTTAACCCATTGAGTTGCATTGCACCCTGATGCACCCTACTTTAGTATTTTACTGTGTCTAATGCCACATGATTTTACTCGTCAAGGGGAGAGCGCTGGCGCTTAATAAGTTAACTGGCCTATCTGCCCATGTGCCTAGTTAACCCATTAAGTTGCATTGCACCCTGATGCACCCTACTATAGTATTTTACTCATCAAGGGGAGAGCGCTGGCGCTTAATGGGTTAATGATCATTCTGCAGAGCCATGCTAAAACAAATTGCTACTTGTCTACAATATATTGACTTGGAATAAATACAGTATATTAAGTGCACAACTGGACAAATTGGCTAGAAAGAACAGATAGAAAAGAAATTACGGTAAGAAACCTTAGAACTTGTATACTTAAAACCATCACATGCAGTTAAAATTGGTCAGTACCTTTTGAATTCCTCTCTTTGCACCAGAAGGTAAAAGTTTCATAGATTTTGGCGAGGTTACGTCAACCTGTAGAAATACATTGTGCAGTACATACAGTACAAGAGTCAGATCTAGTCAGAGCCTCCTACAGACATCTGGAGGGCTGGCTCAAAGTATTACTTTGAGGATTTTGAAATCTGAGTTCTTGGGAATGGTAAAATCTTCTGGTCTGCGACTGGGAACTAGAGTTAGGCCATGGGAATGAAAGTCATAGATTTGCGTCCACCGCCCACATGCCTCAAAAGCTACCGCCTAACGTTTTCATTATTTGTAAAAATCCAATAAAATTAGCAATAAAATTGTGTATTGATTACAATGAAATGAACATATTGCAGTATGTCTGTATCCACATTCTATGAAATTCCGAATTATATTTACCGAAATGGCAAAATTGCCACACAGATCTTCAGTGCTGCGACCGTGTGAGCTCATGATATATGTAATTCCACGACGTAAACGGTAATTCATGTTTTTATCTCTGTATTTACCACCCAAAACAATGGTCAAAAAAATGAATAATGAAAAAAAAGCTGCATGCTTTTTCAAAATTACCCGGACACAAATCTATGACTTTCATTCCCATGGCCTTATGATTCTACAGTACTATGCATATTTTACTTAATTTTTTTATTACAGGTGTATGTACCACAGAATATCACAGTAACACGCATGAGTCAGACCAAATGTAGACATCTGCCATCCTATTTTCTAAACTAATATCCTACCAACAGTCCAACACTGAATATAATACAAAACAAAATATTACTCACTCACTTTCTTGTTTGACTCATATTTTGGGTTTCAAGATGCTTATCTTCGGATTATGTTTTGTATTATATTTTTTGAAATTGTCGGCTGGTATTGGTTTTTTTTAGTCCAACACTGGATGCACAGGTTTTAAATACTTTCTTAAAATGTGTGCTTTTCAGTTTCTTCTGAAACATTGCTGTTAGGTAATTGTACAACGCTTGCCTTCACTCTCTATTAAGCTATTTTTCACCAATCTTACTTTTTATATAAATGAATTAACGCGAAAATATCAAAATAATATGTCATGTCATTGTAGTTTATGCGAGTTTCGTGCGCAGGTTGACCTAAATATATTTAACATTACCTGTAAATAATCAACTTGATTTAAATTTAGTTGCATCATTTTTACTCCTGAAATATGAAGGAATCAAGAAATTAAATCTTAAGTCATCAGATGTAATGAATAATCGTAAAATTCAAGTAAATCTTGGCCATTTTCCCATAGCAACAATTGGACGCCATATTGCAAACATACTCATTAATATTCCATATTAGCCTGTTTGCAGGCTAGACTGTAAACATGGACAATACGTATTTTATCGCAGTCTTTCGATTTTTTTTTAATTAATTTGTCAATTTAATTTGAAACACAGTTAAAAGTCTGTGAAACAAATGATTTGTGATATTTAAGTTTTAGAAAAAAAAAGTGAGGTAACTGGAAAAAATTCGCCCAACGTGGGGCTCGAACCCACGACCCTGAGATTAAGAGTCTCATGCTCTACCGACTGAGCTAGCCGGGCAATTGAAAAATCCGTTGTAAATTACTTTATTTAATGACTCTCTCTGAGCCCAAAAATCAGCGGTAATCATTGAACTAAAATCAATGACTAAAATATATTTTAGTTCAATGGCGGTAAATCACGGAGGCCTGGGCGGTAATATTACGAAAGTCACCGAACTGTTAGCCTGCATGGCAGGCGGTATTTCTACGGGCAGCGAAAATTAGGGAAGCAAAGGAAATACCGTCTGCCGCAAAACTAGGGGTTTTTGAATTACCCGTCCGCTGGTGAACGGGAAAAACGGATTGGTTAGTATTTTTATGTAGTTGTCAATCAACGGCTAAATTCGGTTAAATGTTAATCAGAAGCAAATTAAAAGATACAAGCTGAAAAATAACACTCTAAATAGTGTTATTGATAGAGATTCGAACAAGAATATTTAACAAAGAAGATACGTCCGAAGGGGCCGAAGTTATGATCGGCGAAAGGTATGGGCTAGTCTATATTTTCGTTCAGACAATTACATGCGTATTAATTTGATAATATACTATCTCGCTTGACTTTCAAAGGCCATAAATCGCAATAATGTTGACATTTTACTAAAACTATCGATAGAAATTAGGAGATATTTCTTCACTGAATCGAACTGTGGGATTTCCATATAGGCCTATCAGTCATGTTCTGAACCAAAGATACTTGATAGATATTAATATATACGAACCTCCAAAGTATAAACAAGGGGCCGGTTGATGCAGTAATTATCACAACAGTTAAACTCTTATATGAGGGTCCTGAAGGGGGGGTCCCAATCCCATTTCCCACCTGAAATTTTGGCAAAATCCCAGTCCCAGTTGGATTTTTATTAGAAATCCCAGTCCCAGTTACTGAAATCCCAGTCAATAAAAGACCCTCTATTTATCGGTAGAATAAACAGTTTTAAGACCTTTTAAGCAAGTGGCGGACACTTTATGAAATATTAGGGGGGGGGCTCGTGCCGAAGGCACGGAAAATTTTTAAATTTTAATCCCGGAAATGGCATTTGCAGCATTCTGAGACACGCATAATCATAAAACCCAGAATTCCGGGCGCCAGAATATGCCTGTTCGCAGGTAGTGCTGTGAATAATATAGTTAACAACAAAAATCATGACCAAAGACACCAAAAACGGATCAAAATTGTATTTTAAAATACTCAAAATGCAGAAAAATTGGGAATCGACTCACATTACCTCAATCCCATTCCCATTTTTGAGGACTTCATTTCCCATTCCCAGTGGCCAAATCCCAGTCCCAGCAGCAAGAAAAATACTATTTCGCTGAACTCAGAATGACATTTCGTCAAAACTTTTTTCTTCAAGATTGGTTTAGAAACAAACTTGGAGTAGGGTTAGGTTAGGAATAGGGTTGGGGTTAGGATTAGGGTTAGAGTTGGTGTTTGGAATAGGGTTAGTGTTAGTAATTCAGTTGCTTGGTTACGTTTTGTCACTTTGAGGCCAGCGAAATAACATCTTCCAGCACCCCAAATCCCATTTTCCCAGTCTAAAAATAGATCAATCCCAGTTCCCATTTTACCCCTTCAGGACCCTCTTATATACCTGTTGAATATGTATAGTTGTAAACAAATAAAAACTATCGTTCTATAAGGTTCAATACTTTCAGTTTGGTTGTTTGACTGATGATGAATCTATAGTATAGACTTGCATGCTTTGTATTTTGTGCTTATTAAACCACCGTTTTAAGGCAGCTAAACGGCTAAACGGGCTTGGTTTATATTAACACATAAAATAAATTCCTTGATTCTCATCACTAGACACAGTCTACACTTTGAAATGTCGAAGACAGTGGGAGATTTATTTTTTATATTTTATATTTATATAATTTATATATCAATAGTTCGTATCTCCACAAACAATGACAGAATGACTGAGTTTCTTTAAAATACAATGAAATTTCACTCAAAATTCTGTTTGTTTCAAATTGGAAGTTTAAAATGGCAATAAAAACTCTATATAAAATATGAAAAAATTAACTGTCTTGAATTATTTTGTCGGGCGGTACATTTATATTGTATAACGAAAAATAAAACGTTTTCACGAGGATTTTAAAATTCAGTCGGGCGGTGATGAGAATCAAGGAATTTATTTTATGTTGGGCAGTTGGGACTTGGGAGCAGCTTGGGAGTGGCTAATTTTGAATATTTACTTAATTAATGCATCTATAAATAGCGTTGATGCTTCAGGGGCGGTAGTTCATTTACACCCAGTTTTGCGGCAGGCGGTATTTCCTACGTACCGCCTGCCATGCAGGCTACCGAACTGTGGAACGATACAATCTCGTTCCCCGAGCCTGCGATCCTCGGGAAGGAACGCTAGCAGTGGCGGCGGAACAGGGGGGGGGGCTAGGGGGGCTAAAGCCCCCCCAGAAGTAAAAGTGGGGGGCTTAGCCCCCCAGAAAATTTTGTTTTTTCTGGAAAATTTTTGATAATTAAGGAAAAATTTAGAGTATTTTTGGAAAATTTAGGTATAAGGGGAAAAAAGGGGGAAAATTTGCAGTGTATGTCCGGAAAATTTTTTTGTTACGGTATAGATCCGGAAAAATTTTTATCCACGCCTTTTTTTGTATGTGTCCGGAAAAATTTTTTGGTTACGCCCGGGGGGGGGAGGGAAGAAAATTTTAATCCCCCAAAAAATTTAGCCCCCCCAAAATAAAATATGTTCCGCCGCCCCTGAACGCGAGGCTCTGGGATAATCCGTTTCAGGGAGGAATCTGATTGGCCGTTGAAATGGAATGCGTAGTTCAATCTTAGCCAGGATTCCTGGCTTCCGGCAACGGATTATCCCAGAGTCCTGGCTTCCGGCAACGGATTATCCCAGAGCCTCGCGTTCCTTCCCGAGGATCGCTAGCCTACGGTGTAGAGTGTAGACCCCAGCAGAAACACGTTTCGTGAGGGGTCTACGAATAAACGAAGAAAAGCTTGCCCGGCTACGTCATATCCGTTTTACGTTTTGGGTAAATTAACTTCAATTTATTCAAATTACGAAACGTGTTTCTGCTGGGGTCTACACCGTAGGCTAGAGGATCGCAGGCTCGGGGAACGAGATTGGGAACGATGGCTCTGGGTACGAGATTGACTGTGGAATCGCATCAAAAATTCGTATATCGACCACTCCTGACCCACACAGCCAATCGACGTTTAATTGTAATTGTTACCAAGAACCTGATTGGCTGTTCAAAATTAGAATTGTAAACATGCAAAACTATGTAGGCGCGGTCATAGACGTTTGTGGGAGTGGTCGATATACAAATTTTTGATGCGATTCCACAGTTCGGTGACTTTCGTAATATATTTCTGTTGAATCACACAGCAGTGTTGATGGGAGGGAGCGCACGACGAAGTCACGAATTGGACTAAAGTAAACAAATCCAATACATTGGAGTATTTCCAATCGAGAAAGTGAAACAATCCGACGAAGAACTGTTGATGCTTCGCAATCTGTCGGCCACGCGTTGGGTAGAACGCGAATAATCGTATAGTTACTAAAACATGGAACCAGGGTTTATTTTGAAGGTCATCTACAGTCCGTATGTAAACAAAGCCTTTGTTTACATTTTTGTGTCCAAAATATTGAGGTTTATTCGACAACTATTTATATTTTCAAGCTTCTAGAGTATAATAAATTATCAAGAAACAACAATCAGGCTTTTCAAGAACTCAAAACATAGTTAAACTGTTTGTATCATAAAAAGTGGGCTCATTTGTGCACATGCGCAGATCGGACTGTAGATCACCTTTAACGTGCAGTTCTACACAAAATGTGCAGTTCTAAACCTATTTGTGCAGTTCTTAAACTGACAAATGTGCAGTCACCAAACTAACAAAAGTAGCCTTAAAACAGTCTTCTCGTTTACTCGTTATTCTTGTGGATGCTCCAGAAAATTCCAGAAATGCTGTCATTGCATGAGCATCAAAAATATAAACGTTTTCTGGGAGAAGACCCCCAGACCCTCCTATTTTCCTCACACTCACTTACGTGCTGGGATAATGGAAAAGAAGGTAAAATTGGGGCGAGCGAAGATCCCCAAAAGAGATTAGAGTAGGAGAACCTAATATTCTTTCCTGCCTGAAATCAGTGCTTCCATTTTCAAAAAACACAATTTCCTTCCAACCGTTCGAAATTTCCTTATTTTTAAAAAGATTCCTTGCAATAAAAATGATTGAATTTTACCTAATTTAAAACTGATTTTATAGCAATTTATCTCGAATAACGGGGTAATTCTTGTTCTAGAAGGAACATGGACGTTGCAGGAGCTGAATTATCAAAGGGGAGAGACAAAGAGTTTACCTAGATTAATTAACACGAAGGATAATAAGTAGGGGGTCTGGGTGTCCTCCCCCAGAAAATTTTCAGATTTTGCATCTCGCAGAACAGGATTTTCAGCCTATTTTGAAGCGCATTTCTTTGAAAATTGCCGTATTCTTCGGATTTTTTAGAAATAAGGCAATTTCCTTCATATTTCCTTCAATCTTCCAGAATATCCTTCAAATTTCCTTCCAATTCGAATTTCCTTATAATTTCCTTCAACTAGTTAAAATTTCCTTCAAAAAGGAAATTTCTTTCAAAATGGAAGCATCCATGATGCCCAGTTATATGTTTTGAAACCGTTTTTGTGAGTCGTTGGGTACCAATCTTAAATTAAACTTTTCCATTCGTTCCAACCATCTTTTCCAACCATCTGTTCCAACCGACGAAGCCAGCCAGTGAAGGACCT